CAATTCTACCTGTGGAGATTCATACTACACAACCCTGATGTAAAATCCTGGCTTGAGCATAGATAGCAACAGACACCCAAAAACACAGATTGTGTGCAAACAAAGACTGCGTACCTGTTGAAAGAAAGGCCAACATCTGGCTACCCCTTTGCACAAAGAATGGATGGAAACTTTTGAGCAACTGGACTGGAATGGCTGATGGTATCACGGCCTCAGGCAGCCAGCAATGCCTCTGGGATCATTTTTGAAACCAGTTCTTCTTGCTGTGTCACATTTTATTTCACAACTCTATGTCACTTGTTCCAGACCGGCAATGGACACAGAATGTAGCCTTGTCCAGAGCACAAGTAAAATACTTAGCTTCTTCTTCTTCTTTCAGGCAAAGGTATGTTCAGGTATAAGAAGAATTTGAGCTGCTAGTGCCTGATGCAAAAGTATATGCAACTTTGAGCTTGAAAGCAACTTTGCATGGAGGGAGTGGACACTGATGCTTTTCTTAGGCTGGCATTGATATGCCAAAGACAGCCTTTGAGCTTGATAGAATAGTTCTTTACTCTCATTTTCATGTATAGAAGGAGTGGGCAAAGTGTGGTCCTGGATTATTTTTGGGGAATGGCTATGGCAATTCTACTCCCCAAATGATTTTTTGAAAATGAAAAATCACCATAACCCCTATGTTTAATTCTTGGTTTAAAAGGGCAGCTTTCTGGGCCAAAAACAACCTGGGAGGATGGTAAAACCACCCTACAACTCTAATGGTTATGGGTGGTGGTGGATATTGGGGATTTTTTGGAAAGGAATGGAGGGATGTGGGTTGCTTTGAGGTCCCATAAGGAAGGCCAACCCAATCTCTAGCAATTTCCAACTTCTGGGAAATTTATGTCCAAACTGGTTTCATCCCTTTCAAAGCTGCTGCACTTTCTCTGGACAGTCTCAACCTGCATTTTGCACAACTGGATGATCTTGAAAAGTGACCATCAAGGTCCTTTCTGAGTGTGGCACTTTATCACGCTTTCTTTGCCACCTTATGTACTATTGATCTGATGCAGGCACTTACTCTTCACGCCTCGGGACCAGCAATTCATTTCCTGTGGGACTTTCCGGATCACTGGCAGGGGCATCCGCCATCGACTTCCATCTGGGATTCATTTTGGGGCTTTAGTCTGAACTCTACAGGAACTATCCAAGGTGCTGACCCTGTTTAAGCCTCAGCCTTAAAGTTCAGCCTTAAAACCTTGAGCGGATGCACTCCTCTGCCCCAGAAACCCCCTCCTTGTTGGCTGGAATCCTGTTCTTGTCTTTTAAGGTCATTTTCCAAAGTGGCTTTTCATCCACATCTGCTCTGACCTCCTGCTTTTAGCACACTGGAGCTGATACAAGCCCCCAATTTCATCCCAAATGACCCCCAGCAAGACAAAGGATATAAAATATTCCTACAGTGAGATGACAACCCATTTCTCTGATGGTCTATTCCTCTCCGTCCCTTCTTTGGACCTGAATCTCCCCCGCCCTTGACGGTGTCGGTCACCCCTCCGTTGCTCCTCTGACCCAATTTCTCCTCCTAAAAAACCTGATGTATTTAATCAGCCTGCCTGCCTCTCTCTGTCTAAGCGCTCTCTGGATTTAGCAATGAGGTTTGTGTCTTAATCTCTTTCTCGCTCCTCGTTTACCGTCATTATTGGTGTCCATCTGTCGGAAGATTTTTTCCGTCCGTTTCTCGGGGGTTGACTCATCCTCGGGCATCTTCATCACCGACGAGACCATTTTGTAGATGGCCTGAGAGAGAAGGAACAGGGAGAGAGGCGGGTGAGACACGCGGTCCTCCCAAATTCTGGCCCTACAGCCAGTATGTGAAGAGATCGTGTCGCACCTTTGAAAGAAAGAAATTGGCAGCAGGAGCTTCGTTGACTTAAGTCTACTTCCTCAGATATATTTGGCGCCAATTCCGTTCTTTCAGTTAGTCTCAACGGTGTTACAAGACCTCTTCACACACTGATTTTACAGACTAACATGGCTATATCTGTGAATTCCTCCAGGCAATGGTGGTTAGTGGTTCCCATATCAATATGGTGGTGAATCCACTCAAGGGTTTAATGGAGTATTTGCAGATGTCCAGCAAGCTGAACCCTGGTCTTTCCTGCACCTGAACAACTCCTTTCTTGTTCTTGTGTGCCTTCAATCCATTTTCAACTTATGGCATCTCTAAGGTGTACCTATTATGGGTTTTTCTTGGCAAATTTCTTCAGAGGGGGGGTTGCCTTTTGCCATCCTCTGAGGCTCAGAGAGTGTGACTTGCCCAAGGTCACCCAGTGGGTTTACACGGCTGAGCCAGCATTCGAACCCTGGTCTCCCAGTGTCCTAGTCCAACGCTCAAACCACTACTGAAACCAAAAACATGGAATGGATCCACTGCCCCACAGGAATGGGAGCTACCCACTGGGACCACCTCTGGGGATCACCAAGTTTTGCCAAGTACAGTTCCAAACTCTATGCAATCTATTAAACTACACATCCTGCTGAACTTTTCATCCCAAAAACCTTATGCCCGAGCTTTTCCCTCCTCCCTCCCCATCCCCTTTCCTCTTATGCCATGTCTTTTAGATTGCAAACCTATAGGAGCCATTTGGGGAATGAAGAGTGGGATAAAGATTGATAAAATGAAGAAATGTGTTGGGTTTTCTGCAGAGACGTTCACATCCATCTGACAGAAATTGTGGCCTTCTCCTGTATATATCTGTGTATGCATATCTAAATTTTTCATCACGGTCCCTTATCTGGAGGGTTTCCCCTTTTCGTTTTAAGGTTCAGAAGTTCAGAGAAATGACACTACATCTGCCTGAGTCTCCAGGCATTCAGAATGTGAACTGGAACAGAGGAGAAAAGACTTGATTAAACAAAAAGCAGCATTTGAAAAAGACCCAGTGTGCTCTTTCCCCTGAAGACAGCATGCATTTCCTGCTTAAAGAAACGGGTAATTAACATTCAATATGGTGAGGACAGGTTTCTCTGGGGGGAAAACAGAAATTGCAGTAGTGCGTGGGAAATAGCTTCCATCTCCTTTTCTCTTTCTTTCTTTCTTTCTTTCTTTCTCGCTCGCTCAGCATCGTTTGGAAATATCTGCCTCTCTTCCATCCAAATTTCAGGATGGTTTGGGCACCTGAAAAAGTGTAAGGTTAAGGGACGCTGGCATTCAGATGGGTGGACACCCATCGCCAGCAAGGAGAGGAGAAACAGCAGCAAACTTTTGGCCCCAGTACCAGAAAGAACGAAATTTCAGAAAGTCAGTTCAGAAGGAGACAAAACAGGATGGTATTCTGATAGACATCAGAAGAAGGCTAGGACTTGGAAGATCCTGAACAAGATCCCGAAATGCAAAGTTATATCCCTGAATGCTAAAGTTAGCATGGTCCATGCCATTGCATTTCCAGTTTCTATTTATGGTTGTGAAAGCTGGACCCTGAAGAAAGGTGACCGGAAGAGCATTAATCAATTTGAAATGTGGCGCTGGAGGACAGTTTTGCAGAGCCCATGGACTGCTAAAAAGACAAATAAAATAATAATAATAAATAAATGGGTCCTGGAGCAAAGCAAGGCTGAACTGTCCTTAGAAGCTATGATGACTAAACTGAGGCTGTTGCACTTTGGCCATACCAGGAAAAGAAAGGATTCACCAGAAAAGACAATAATGCTTGGTAGAAAGTTGAGGGCAATAGGAAAAGAGGAAGACTGAATACCAGATGGATAGATTGAAGAGAAGCTACAGCCATGAATCTGCAAGACCTGAGCAGGGTTCTTGAGGGGACGCTGACTTGGAGGTCTCTCATTCATAGGGTCACTAAAAGTCAAAGGCAACTTGGTGGAAGTTAACAACAATCCTGATAGTTGGATGTTGTGTGCCTTCAAGTCGTTTCCAACTTACGGTGATCCTAAGGCAAACCTACCATGTGGTTTTCTTGGCAAGATTTGTTCAGGGGAGGTTTGCCATTGCCTTCCCTTGAGGCTGAGAGTGTGTGACTTGCCCAAGGCCACCCAGAAGGTTTGCATGGCAGAGCAAGGATTTGAACTCTGGTCTCCAGAGTTGTAGTCCAGCACTCAAACCACTACACCACGCTGTACATTAACATATAAGGCATGCAATGCCATATCACTACCAGCAGAGGATACCACAGAGCCAGACAGGAAACACAGTAAGATCACGGAAATTATTTTGCTATACTAATTTGTTGTTGTTGGGCGCCTTCAAGTCGTTTTCGACTTATGGCGAACCCAAGACAAACCTATCATGGGGTTTTCTTGGCAAGATTTGTTCAGAGAAGGTTTGCCATTGCCTTTCCCATGAGGCTGAGAGGGTGTGACTTGCTCAAGGTCATCCAGTGGGTTTCCATGTCTGAGCGGGGATTCGAACCCTGGTCTCCAAGGTCCAAGGCACAAACCACAGTTGGCTCCTTGCTATACTAAACAACCACCGAGATCCAGCATTCAGTTTCTGGTGGTGGTCAACCAGAAATCTCTGAAAAGTTGAGAAAAGTTTGGCTTCCCTCCTCTGTCCATTATTAGCGCCTGAAGTACCACTTCTAAACCTAGAAGTTTTATTTATCTTCCTTGGTCAATAGTTGTTGATGGAATAACTATGCTCCATGCATTTGTCTGACCCTTTTTAAAAGCCAAGGGACATGATCTCAATCTCTTTCTCGCTTGTGGCCATGAATTCCATAAGCGACATATTGTGCAAAGTTCCTATATGTTTAGTACCTTTCCTTGCGATGACCCTAAATCCTTGTATAGTATGACAGGAGAGAAATACCTACAAACCCCTTATGCACTCTGCTTTCTTCTCCTGTTCCACCGAAGGGTACTTTTCTGTAAATGGAGCAGTTTGTATTCTCTCCCCAGAGATCCTTGAGAAATCACAGCTACCCCTGAACTAAAGGAGATTTACTGGGACTGTATTTATTACCAGCAATCCCTTACCTGGTTAATCTCATAATAGGCTTTCAGAGGAAATATCTCTCACAATCCCATTTTTCTCCCTCATCAGACCGCATCATTTCAGTCACAGAAAAACTAGAGAAGTAGGCTTCTAATACACTTTTTGCTGTTCTGTGTCATTTTTGCAAGAACACATTTGGGGAGATGCGTATCGGACACGGCTCAGACACCAGAGAACCATGATTGTCACTGTTGTTATGCGCCTTCAACCTCATCCCAAGGTTTTCTTGGCAAGACTTGTTCAGAGAGGTTTTGCCATTGTCTTTCCTCTGTGGCTGAGAGAGTGTGACTTGCCCAAAGTCTCCCAGTGGTTTTGCATGGCCCAGCAGGAATTTAAACCCTGGTCTCCAGAGTCATGATCCAACACTCAAACTACAACATCATGCTGGCCCTAAATATTTGTTCAGAAGATGGTTGCCACAGTGACTTTCCTCTGAAGTTGAGAGAGTGTGACTTGCCCAAAGTCACCCAGAGAGTTGCCATGCCTAAGAAAAAAATTTGAACCTTGGTCTTGCTGAATCCTACACTCAACCATTACATTATGCTGGCCCTAAAGATGTATTCAGAGGAGGTTAGCCACCAAGGCTTTCTTCTGAGGCTGAGAGAGTGTGACCTGCCCAAGGTCACCCAGTGGGTTTTCATGGCTGAGCAGGGATTTGAACCCTGGTCTCCCAGAGTCCTAGCCCAACACCTAAACCACTACACCATGCTGGTCATCACAGGCTTTCTATCATTTCTAGTGCTAGCAGGAACAGGAGACTTTTAGTTGATGGTCAAGGTGTGAAATGAGGAGGAAAGGTTTAGGAAAGAGAGCCAGCCTCAGGCTCAGATTGCAAGATTGTGCTTTGTGCATGAAACATTATATTTTGCAATTTAAATGACTGTTTACTTTGCGTGTTCCTCTATCTGGTGATGGGGGAGACTTCTTACTCTGGGGATGAGATCTGTGACACCTGGATGCTTCTGTGCTGGATTTGGGTGGCCTACAGCTCAAGGCAAAGAACAGGTGGGGTCCCCATGGATCGCCAAAAAAGTAGCACAGATTGCAAAGGCTGCAAATGTGAATCATTTGCCAGGTTGCGGGGAGAGACGTAGCTCCTAACTGGGTCTGAGATATTTATAAACCGATGCTCTGATGTGCCCTTGGCAAAAAGAAACGGGAACACCTGGAGGGGCGGGAAATGGATTTGTGTTTTTTAAAGGCCGAGGGAACAAAGTTGAGAATGTCCCAAAGTCCCTTCAGGTTAATCCCTAACCCCAATCTGTGAAAGGCAGGCCAGAACAAAAGACACAGTTGAGCACCCAGATTTGGGAAGGACCCAGTAGGTGGACTTTGGGTGAGGTTGGCACCAATTTAGGATTGTCCCTGATCCTGAAGTTTCGGGCCCAAACGACAGAGGTGGCCCCTGGTGATATCACTGAGAGTTTTGCATTAAATATCAACCGCGCCTGCTCACAGTTTGTCATCCAAACACACACAGAGAGAACACCTTTTCCTTTTTGGAATTCAAAATCGAACTCTTAGCTAGCTAAATCTAAACCCACTTAAGTAAATGCATAGACCCCAGGCCTGGGGAGTCCATTAGGTCTTCTAAACTGTAGGAAGCTAATGCTCCCCTAGCTGAGCTGGAGATTTGCACCCAGACCTTTCCTCTTGTTAACAGCAGAGCTCCCACAAAACTAGAGGATCTGCAACCTCATCTCCTGCCTGGATATATGACATGACAGAGCCAAAGATCTGCAGGGAAGTCATGGAGAAGATGGAGCCAGATGGCTGTCTGCTGTTCTGGAGGTTGGAACACAAACCGATGGATTCAGATTCCGAGAAAAGAGATTCCACCTGAACATTAGGAAGAACTTCTTGGATGTAAAAGCTGCTTGAGAGTGGAGAGTGGAGTAGATTCACCGCCCGGATTGGTTTGCCATAGGGCGGTATATAAATAAAAATTATTATTATTATTATTATTATTATTATTATTATTATTATTATTATTATTATTATTATTATTATTATTATTATTATTATTATTATTATTATTATTATTATTATTATTATTATTATTATTCCCTTGGAGGGCAAAGCCCTCTCCTTCATTGGAGATCTCTAAACAAAGGTTGGAATGGACACCTTTCAGGAATCCTTTTGTGAAATACAGTTGGTCCTCTGCAACCACAGATTCAAGCATCCACGGCTTGGAAATATCAATATATTGGGAGCCAGAGTGGTGTAATGAGTGCTAGACTATAATTCTGAAGACTAGGGTTTGATTCTCTGCTCGGCCATGAAAAACTGTTGGGTGACCTTGCATAAGTCACACTCTCTCAGCCTCAGGGGAAGGCAATGGCAAACCTCCTCTGAACAAATATTGCCAAAAAAACTCCAGGATAGGTTCTCCCTAGGGTTACCATAAGTTGCAAATGACTTGAAGGCACACAACAACAACAACAACAACATGTGTGTGTATTTGTTGTTGTTGTTGCATGCTTAAAATATTACCTGCATGTCCACCATGAAAGATCTCCATCATTATCATTCTCAGTTTCACATTCCATCAGATGTTACTGGCTGAACTTCTGGATCACCACTGATCCAGATCATCAATGATCCAGGGATATTTTACATGAGGAACACCATTTTACTACACCACTGTATATCACGGGACTTGAACATCCATGGATTTTAGTATCCATTGCAGGACCTGGAAGCAAACCCCAGCAGATACCAAGGGCCCACTGTATTCCTGTATGGCAGAGGTTAGATAGATGGCCTTGTCGTTTCTTCCAGAACTATGATTTTACGAACCGTGGTTCCCATGGTGATGCACAATTCCAAATGGGCTGACAAAGCGTCTGAACAAAATTGCCTAATAGATAGGATTGCATCAGCACGACTACAAGAAGTGACACTACTCATAACCTGCACGATATTGAGCAACATCTCACTGATTCTGAGATTCCTGGACAGAACCTGATGCACTGATGTGTCTACATACAAACCCTTGTGCTACCAACTACTTTCTTTTGCATACTGAATTATGTATGTTAGGATTCCAGCCATGGCGAAGGATACACCTTTGAAGAGGTGTTGCAAGAGAAAACCCAAAAAGCCTCTGAAAATATCAAGACTGCTTGGCTCATTGTTGCAAAGGGCTCCGTTTGACTTGCAGACTCCGGACGGACGGACGGGATTAAAGCTTTGTGCCTTGTTGCAGGAAAGGACTGGAACAGCTGCTGAGCATCTGTTTCCTCTTCCCTTTTGCTTCCTGGCCCCTTGTATGTAGCACAAAGGAGTGGCAAAGGCCCACAACCCACTGGAAGAGGCAAAGGGGCCCGATGCAACAACCAGATTGTGTGCAAGACAGATCCAAAGACAACAACCACATCATATGGTTGTGTGCACCTCTGCTAATCTACTGCCATTGTAAACAGCTCCTTGGGCTGGAAGGATGCCTTATCCTTCAAATCTGCAACATCCCTGCTTAGGGACAAAGAGAAACACAAGACTTGTCTTCTCAACACAACACAAGCAAGCAAAAGAAACAGACTGAGAAGGGAGAGGTTTCCAGATAGGGCTTTGGTTTTTGTCTCCACTGGTGTCAAACAGATTTTTACAGACGTCCTCATCCGAAACGCTTCTAAACATTATGCACTTTTCTACCACCTCTTCCACATTTTTCTCCTTACTGGATCTGCTCAGGAGAGGGAAAGAGGGAAGAGCTACATATTGCCTTTAGCCAGCAGGCAGTCTCCGTGTTCAAGGCGCTGAGCATCCACTCCGGGATCTAGTCTGAACTTTATAACGGAGATACCCAAAGTGCTAGCGCCTCCTCTTGGGAATGGAGTTCACCACCTTGGACATATTTGTTGACTTACTTATTTTAGTATTTATATCCTAGCTGTCTTGGCTTCCTTTGGCTGATCCACGGGAGCCCAAGGCGTCGTTCTCCCAACCCTTTGGCACTGTCCGTAAACACGGCATGCGCACACATTCTTAAAGCTCCTAGCTTTAATCAATTTAAATGGTCGATTAAATTGTTGCTCCTAATGGCACACACTTCAGATTAGTTACCCTTTGCAGAGTGGGGTTTTTCTCCGCTCTGTAATTAGGGCTGCAAGCTTTAATCGG